ATGAGAATGAAAACGTATTTACAAACGAGGATGTGATTGCTTTATCCCTTAGGAAACATGAGTCGGGTAGGAGTTCATAGGCCAGACCGAGTACACGGTCTTCTAATTGTTTACGTGTGGTTTTCGATGATGAAGATGTATATATCGAGCAACTATTCGAATCAAAGAAAGAATTGCAAGAAACTACGCACTGAATTGTTTTAAAGCATAACTTCGAGTTTAGAGTGAAGAAATCAAATAAGTCAACGTACACAATTATCTACGTTGATGACAGTTGCCATTGGCATTTGCAAGTGAAGAAGATAGACACAAATAAGTTCTTTGTAGTTTGTAAGTATGCACGGGAACATACTTGCGAAGTGGGTATTCGTCGAAATGATCACATGTAGGCTTGATCATGGTTCATTGGTTGAAAAATAATGCACAAGTTTTAGGACCCACGAACGATCTATAGACCTTCGGACATCATTAATGATGTCCGGCTAGAATACAAGGTGATCATGAGCTATCAGAAGGTTTGGAAGGCCAAAGAATGAACATTTGAGAACTTGATGGGTTCAATCAAGGAGAGTGATGCTAAATTATCCAGATATTTCATTGTTTGGGTGTTTATTTCTTTGTTATTTTAATTGTTAATTATTTTATTTCAATTGTTTATGTAATTATATAATTCAATTGTTTATTTAATATGTAATTAATTATTTAATTGAATTGTTTATTTTTCTGTTAATTTAATATTTAATTGATTATCTAAATTATTATTATTGTTTATTTACATTGGCCAGATATTGCTATAACATGGGAAGAAATAATATTGGATCGGCATTCTTTATTGAGAATGATGACGAGAATCGTTTCAAGTATTTCTTTATGACTCTTGGACAATGCATTCGAGGATTTCGAAACGCAATGCAACCATAATCCTAGTCAACGATACAACCCTTAAGGTGAGATACGGGGGCAAGTTGATTATTGAAACATGTCAAGATGCCAACATCCAAATTTACCCTCTTGCGTTTGGCATAGTCAGCGGAGAAAATGATCTAGTAATGAGTTAGTTTTTCATGAAGTTGAAGGAAGTAATTGGGGATGTCAAGAACCTTGCATTCGTAACCGATCAAGGGCAGTCAATAATCAATGGTGTCGCTAAAGTCTTCCCCGAGGCACATCATGGTTATTGTATGTACCATATACAGGAAAACCTAAAAACCAAGTATCGAGGCAAGTGCATCATTGCGTTGTTTATGAGAGCTACAAAGGTTTACAATTTTGAAGAGTTTGAGAAGTTCATGGTCGAAATAGACAGTAAATTGCATGCTGCATGGAAGTATCTAATAGAGATAGGGATAGAACATTGGGCACGATCACATTTTTCAGGACGTCAGTAAACATGATGACGTCGAACAATGCAGAGTCGCTTAATGCCTTATTCAAGAAGGATTGAGAGTTACCAATTCTTGCAATGATTGAGAACATTCGTGACAAGGTGCAACAGTGGTTTCATAATCAAGGTGAGGAATCACAAAGTTGCACAAGTATGCTAACCCCGGCTCAGGAAGATAAACTCTTCAAGACTTTAGATGTGGTGAGAAAGGTATATGTAGAACCATTGAATCAGTTTCGCTTCTCCGTGAGATGTGCACGTAATTTCGGATACATTGTGGACTTGAATGGTAACACATGCACGTGTAGACAGTTTCAGTTGGAGAGTTTTCCGTGTACACATGTAGTGGCAGTGGCTATAAATAGAGGATTTCCACCACACACCTTATGCATTGCTTATTACACGACTGATTATTATAGAGCAGCGTATATCGAAACAATATTTTCTATACCAAATGAAGTCGAGTGAAAAGTTCCCGACCACATTCTCTCACTGAATAACTTGTTGCCGCCAGCGATCGGACTACGTACTCCTAGACGTACACGTACGTGTAGAATACCATTTACTGGAGAATTTTTCTAGTCTCGTAAGTGCGGTAGATACAGTGCAACAGGGCATACTAGAAAATATTGTACATGTCAGATTCTTCTGCATGACAATGTAACAGATGTGTAATTTTACATTGTTAATAAAATATTGACAATATAATTATTTATAACATGACGTTAATTATTTATGCATATTATTTATGTTAATTATTATATTTAGTTTTTTATTTAAACATTTCATTCATTAGTTTCATTGGTTATTCACATTATTTATGCATATTATTTATGTTAATTATTTAAAATCGTAGTATTCGAAGTTTTTTTTAAATACACTATGTTCTCCACAATACACACAAACATTATAAATAAACACATAAACTGTAAAATAAATAATTAAATATTACATAAATAATATACATTTTACAATTCTTTCATCATTACAAATGAATGAATGAAATGTACAATATTTAAATAAATGTAAAAATATGTACAATTACTTACGGATCACCATTAAATTCAAATAAATCACATGATAATTTATTTATCCAATTTTGTATTAATAATTGGTTGATTACATCAACCTTATGTGCTACATTCAAAAATTCTATGTATTTGATGACGAACATGTTGTAATCACCCATACAATTAAGCAATATTGTATTAGCACATCACCGTCTAACTAGAACTTAAGTTGTTAATCAAAAAAATAAAAATAAACACTTACGATATTTGCTGCCTCACCATCGTCGTGTCCCGCACGATGGCTAGTCTATCCTGCACAGTGATGTTTACTCATCTAGCTATCATTGGAACGATCATATATACCGGCTCCAGATCCCGCTCAAGCTGACCTTGTGTCAGGCATGAATGATCGGGGTCAAACACACACATAGTGGAGTCGGCGAATACGATCTCCACTGCAATGTAGTGATGATTCACACACACTGGCATTTACAGATACGTACAGCCCTTCCATAGCTTTCCTCCGACACTCAGCCACATCCTTACGACCCACTCTATCATATATTTCGGCACCGTGTACTCATTACCTATACCTTGGAGAGACTAGAACTTAATGTCCATGGCACGGATGAACTCGGTGTTCAATATGAGTCGGCCAGGAATATTAAACGATTTTGAATGTCTTTCAGCTCGACCTCGTAGCAAATTCATGGCTAAGTCGATGTGCTACATCAAGAAATACCAATAAAAAAAGGAGTTATTCCATGAATTTTTTATTCAAAAATAAAAATTGAACATACATAATAAATAACAATATTTTAATTTCGCTTACATTGTCGGCGAGCCAAGCCTACGAAGTGGTGATGTCGTAGAACTTCTTGTAAGCATTTGAGATCATCTTTTGAGCAATTGTGTGGCTGGCCCTAAAATAATAAGAATAGAAATTTTAGTTAGAAGAAGTATACATGTGTCAGCATCTGCGTATTGTATTAATTCTATAAAATACAATACTTACCCAAGCCTAATTGCTCTCCGCTCTGTCTCGAAGGCTTTCCACTTAGCGTGATCCACCTCCCTGAATAAATTGGGGTGCGTCCCATTAACTAACCTCTTTTTCTTCGCTTCCGCAGTAAAGGGAGAAACGACATATTGTGATAGCACCCTTGGCCTCTTGTCAACCACTAGCTCCGGCAAATCAACAGCACGCGTCATTTCCTCTTCCGTTTCGAGGATCTCCATTTCCCTGGCCATCGGGACCTCCCCCTCGCCCGCTATCAGGACCACCTCCTCTGATACAAAAACTATGTCCGACGAGTTTGGCATCCTATCGGGTGCCACCTCCACCTCCGGTACTCTCTCTTCCTCCAGTACCCCCTCGGCATCCCTAGGTATCCCCTACACGGGCACCCCTCCTCCTCGAGTATCCCCTCTGCCTCGGGTGGCGTCATCTCAGGTACCACCTCTACCTTCAATACCCTCTCCTCCTTCGGTATCCTCTCAACATCCCCGGGTATCCCCTACATAGGTACACATTCCTTCTCGAGTACTTTCTCCACCTCGGGTATCTACTATTGCTTCTCCATCTCCATCGTATCATTTAAAAATAAATCGAATGCAGCAACTGATGGCCATGACAAGTCAACATACCCCATTCGATCCCCTCCCTTTTGATAACTACCGACCTATCCGTCACGATAGCCGCCAGCCCCTCCGTTACGATAGCCGCTAGTCCTTCCGTCACCCCCTCCGTCCCAACAGCCACTAGTCCCTCCGCCATCTCCTACATCTCAGTAGTCACATGTCCCACACAGGCCTGCTATGTCACTTAGTATCGCTGTAACCTCAGCATGAAGGTCTACTAACCCGGCTCGTAGCAACCTAACATCATATTATAACTCTATCATGTCTCCTTACCCGGCTCGTAGCATCGCGACATCATCTCGTAACTCTGCCATGCCTCCTCTCATCTCCATCAGTAGTTCGAACAAATCAACCGTTGAAGCACGGTGACTAGGTGCCGGAGGTGATACTGGACGGCCCTCCTTAAAAAATAATTATTACAAATAAATAACCTAATTAAAAAACAAAACGATAATCGATAAATTATTTTTAAGTAACATACTCTATCCCGATCCACGTGTGACTCGAATATCTAAACCTTTGGCACAATCGGACGTGATCTTCTCGACGGAGGTGACATCTTCGCCGGACGTGATCTCCTCGACGGAGGTAATACTGAATGACCCTTCTGAAAAAATAAATATTACATGTGTATCACTTAATTACAAGATCAAAGCGATATTCAAAAAATCTTGCACAGTAACATACCCTATCTCGATTTATGCTGGACTCAGGCATCTGATCATCATGTGCAATCGAAACAAACAATCCACAAATATAAAGCTAATTGATAGGAATGTAAAATTTCATATTTTTCTTTCCTTTACCTCATGCTTTTGTGACTAATTAACGCCTAAATGTACTGAGTGCCCTTATATTTTGATTTAGGTTACAAATGAATGGAAAATATGGAATTTGGAAGAAAAGAGCGAGAAATGATCTAAATGGAAAAAGTGAAAAGCTCAAGGACCAAGTTGCAAATAATTCCTAGATGAGACGAGTGATGGAATGAAGATTCAAGATTGTTAGAGGTCAATTGGATGAAGAAAGAAGTCAAAGAGATTGAAATCAATGCAAATTGATGGATCTGGAAGAAAGAAATAATAAGGTGCTAAAAAGAAATGAATCCAAAGTTTGGGGACTAAAATGCAGAGTGCTAATAGTTTATTCGGATCCAATATTAATTCTTGGAGAAGGTGTGAATTCAATTAGATTGAATTAAAAGCTAAGTGAGTAAGAAGACATAAAAAAAGAGTTAAAATGAATGAAGATTGAAATTAAGGGATCAAAGTGCAACAATTGAAATTATTTTATACAGCGCGCACGCACGGGTTCAAAGTGGCGCGCGCGTGAGACCTCATTCTTGCATATTAAGAGCAAAACAACAAAGTGGTGCGAGT